CTTCCTAGCACCAGAGTTGGAGACCCTCTTATCCTGGAGTTCAGTGTGAGCCTGTGGAGTGTGTGGTGAAGCTCAGAGTCTCCTCCAGCAGCCCAGAAGTACCTGCTTTAGACTGGAGGAACAGGACTGAGCTGGGACAGGGAAGGAAATAATAAGTCCTTTTAGCTAATCAGGAGCTCAGTTGAGAAGACCCTTGAGCACCTTAATTCTACATCACTCACATCTGGGAACACAACAGGACACACAGAAGCAGAAAGATGTTTTTGTTTCCCACCCATGCAAGCTTGCACAGCCCCAACGCGGTTTCCGTCCTGCACCCACCACTCTTGGCGTGCCGCAGCGCCTCCTGACCTCAGGTGGGGTGAGTCGCTGGGCTGGGGCAGTGAGTCAGAATGGGAGGGGTCAGTGAAGCAGAGGGGCAAAGCAGGGCAGAGAGCTTGTGCAGAACGGGACACAGTTGATAAGAGGGGAGGATTGCTTGCAGAAATGGAAACTGCAAGTGATGTTATCTGCTGTGCTGCCTGAGAGACTCTCTCATGCATGGAGAGATAAGGAGCTATTTCTGGAGGTGGGAGGGGTGTTGGGGAGAAAGGTGAAGTAAAGTCACAGTGTATCTGAGGTAACTGCATTCTTCTCCTACCTTCAATTTATTGTCGTGCCGCTTGATTTATATTCAAGAGGAGTGAGCAGTGGTACCTCAGTCCTTCTGCTCAGTGACACACACAGGGAGACACACACAGCCAGTCAGGGACACAGCCTGGACTTGAACCAGGAACCTCCCGAGAGCAGGGGGTGTATACTGGGCCTTCATTCTCATCCCAGAGCACAGGGGAGTGCAGGGTGACACGCTTAGACTGTCAGGAGCTGAGCCAGGGGCTGCACTGGGAACCCTCTGATTGTAAGGGGTTCACCTCACCCACTGAACCACAGCTTCCACTGTCAGAAAGAGCAGTCAGGTTTGACCTCAGGGCAGATCAAATATAATCCTGGTCATCTCTCTCTTTGCTCTTGTGTTTGGTGCCTCAGTATGGGGGCTGTCTGCTCCATCTTTGTTTCGACAGAGCATTAAGATGCACGTGTCTGTGTGCCTGTCTCTCTTTTTACCTGTCTACCTGTGCTGCTGTCTTTTTTGCTTGTCTGTGTGTGCTCCTGTGCGCCAGTCCATCTGTGTGCCTGTCTCTCTGTCTCCCTTTCTGGCTTTTCACCTGTCTATTTCTGTGTGCCTGTCTCTCTGTCTCCCTTTCTGGTTTTTCACCTGTCGGTCTATTTCTGTGTGCCTGTCTCTCTGTCTGTGACCCGTCTGCCTGACGAGGGAACTGAGCCTGTGGCGTTTCTCTTGTAGACCTTGTACACACACCGCCTGTCTTGTCGGTATACAGGTGCCCCAGTGCTGACCGGCAGCACCCCAGACCAGGAGGGCAATGTGAAGGAGGACAGCCAGCCCCTCAACATCCGAGGTGCAGTAACCCCTCCGCCCCCAGCACCCCAACTCTGCTGACCCCATCACAACATCACCTGCACTTCCTGCCCCTCTCTACGGGGTGTTTGTCCCAGTTAGTGTAATCCTGGTCTGTGTGGGGACCCCACACTTCACTGCTGTATAGAGCAATGGGTTGGATTCCACCTTCAAATGTTCCCGGGCAGATCTCTGTGGGGGGGTTGATGCTGTAGAGCCTCCTTCTCCTTCAGTGTGCTCACTGCCAGGTTGAATCTCTCTCTCTCAGGAGTGTTGCTCCATGTGCTGGGTGATGCCCTGGGTTCGGTGGTGGTGGTGGTGGCCTCTGCCATCTTTTTCGCGCTGCCCCTGCCCCCCGAGGCCCCCTGTAACTGGCAGTGCTACGTGGACCCCAGCCTCACCATCGTCATGGTGATCATCATCCTGTCGTCCGCGGCGCCCCTCGTCAAGGAGACCGGCTCCATCCTGCTGCAGATGGTCCCCCAGGGCCTGGCGGTCCACGGCATCGGTGAGCCCCCAGCCCCACACTGGGGGGCAGTGTTCAGTGCTCCCCGCCGGCCAGCGCACACATGCAGACCAATAGGGCCAGTACTGGCACACAAACAGCACGAAACTAAGTTCAAAGACAATAAATACTGTTTTCACAGGAAAGCTCACGATTTGTGTCGCTGGTACAGTTTTCACACACAAGTGTAAAATCCCTCACTGTCAATCCGTGGGGAGGTTCTGGCACTTTGAGGGCTGTCTTGGTGCAATCAACACCTTTTTGTCAGGAAAAAGGTCAAAACTACCCGCGGCGTACGAGGCAAAACAGCTTGCAAAACTAACATTTCAGGGCATGGCGCTGTTAGGAAACTGTTACGGGTCTTTTTGAAAGGTGGAAGGCTTTCAAAATGGAAAACCCACCACCTCTCAAGGGACACTGACACCTCAACCTTTCGCTAGCTTGAAAACATCATGCATGCACAGCCCGTGTTGCTGAGTCTGGGCTGTACATGCGAGAACTGGCATCAGATTGCCTTGGCCCAGTGTTTTCTTTCCTGAGCTAGGGAAAGCAAGGGCAAAGATCACACTAGTCAGACGTGCAGAGCAATTGATTCATTTTAGATACGATATTGCAGTATTCAAATGTTATTAATCAAATTGCGATATTGTTAATATCACTGACATTGAAAAGTATAAATGGCACGCAGATCTGTAAGAACGGGTGCATGCCCTATAGTGCAAGTGGTCCATCTGACTGGTCGTTCTCCTTCTGTGTTAATCCATCAGCAAGAGCATTCGAGTCCAGCTGAATGAGGAAGTGTGTGAGTAAAGCATCAATAGTGATCAGTACTGATCACATCCATCCTGTACTTGTGCAGTATTGATCCTATTCCGATCCTGTACTCATTCTGATCCTGATTCAGAGCTGAACCACTGCGTGTGCAGTACTGATCCTGTACTCATATAGTATTGATTCAGGACTGACCCAATACTTGTACAGTATTGATCCAGTTCTGATCCTGTACTCATACAGTATTGATTCAGGACTGACCCAATACTT